GGGGGGGAGAGTGAGAGAGCCCGAGGGGCGTGTATGCATGACGCGCAGGGCCTGTGAATCACGGCTTCACTGCCTTTGCCAGAACCATTGACCACCGGGGCGCCAAAGGTTTAATTCTGATCCCGCTTTCCATGCAGCAGCAGCAGAAGCTCTGGTAGGGAGGAGGGGGGGGTACGATGTTCCCGACGGGAAGACGACTCTTCCTTCGAGACCGCCCATTTCTCGTAATGGGATAAAACAGGGCCTGAACTTCAGCCACCAGCGGCCTCGTCGAGAAAGGAAAAAAATGAATTTAAAAAATGATTAAAAAATGTGGAGGACACGGGTAGCAAGCAAGTTGTGCTACCGATTCGAGACCGGCTCATATTTGCCTCCTTCGCTTTGGCGATTCAAAGACCCTCGCCTATTTGGGAAATGACGCGCCAGAAGCAGGTCAACTTGGATGAAAGAAACGAGTCTTTTTGTTCCAATTTAATCTAAGCATTCCCTTTCTTTCCTTCCCTTTGCAGCTACTGCCTGGTCTGCGCATCTGGCGCGGACGCCTGTTAGTTCATGGCGTTTCTCGGCACCGCTCATGCAAGCATCCGAGCATCCCATGATTCAACAGGCTTAGGGCAAGGCGGGTAGAGACGCTAGCTCTCTTTTTTCTCTCCCTCGCCTTTTCCAAAAACGTCCCAGCAGCGGTTAGGCTTTGGGCGGAGCTTTCGCCTTTTGGGTGGCCAACAGGACGGTGTATTGTGCCCGGGCAAATAACTGGCCGCGGGGCGCCTACTCTTGTTGGCCCTTTGTGTGAGCGGGAGCGACATGTGGCGACAGGGGTGCTTCAGAGAGAGCAGAGGCTACCTACTCGCTCTCTCAAACACTGACCATTCTCTTGAATTGACTTGAGCGGGAAGCGGAACCCAGCACCGTATACGATGTGCCACCATATGCGCTCCTCTCCATTGTGCAGTCGATGCAATGCGAGACAGACTGAACCATTCACCGCAGCGTATGCATCGGCGTTTCAGTATGCGGGACAAGCCGGTGGTTAGCATGAAAATACTATTCACAAGACAAAAGAGGATAAAAATATGCAAGAGATCGGAGGAGGCTCGGGGCTGATCACAGCCAATGTGTGCAGCGCAGCGCACAACCCTTGACCTCACGGGCCGGTGTAAGCCCAGCGCTTGGAATCGCTTCTGGAACGGGAAGTGCCAAAGGACTTTTGGCAATTAATGTCTTTGATGAGGGAATAATAAAAAATATGGGCTTGCCAAAATAGATTTCATCCACATAGCGCAGGTATCTACCTCTTAACAAGAGACGGTTGAGTGACCGACTTACGCGCCAGACTTTCCACTACCCGTCCGCGAGACCAATGTGACTGTGTTGGTGCAACACTCCGCTTTCAAGGTGGCAGTATCGCGAAATGGTCGCACGAAACTTGGGAGCTGGCTGCTCAATGGCTGGCTGAAGGACCCCAGAGCGAGTCCCATCACGCCCTGCTCCAAGCTCATTTGCTCGTTGGGCCTGACTATTGATCGACTGGGTTCATGGCCATCTGAGACGCAATGATGGCCGCACGGCGTACTCGTTTTGGATATCCCAAGGCAGAACATCAAGGCCAGGCTGCTCATGCCGCCACAAGGCAGTATGGGAAGACGCTGCCGTCTGCCCTGACTTCCTCCTTGTTCGGGTAGCAGTGCATCGATTACAAAGGTTTCAGAACAGAGCATCCAAGTCGGCAGAAGGAGGGGGTTCCTCGACACTCGTGACCCCCAAGACTGGCAAAGTCAGTAGATTTCTTGGCTACGATGCATCCACGAACAGGGCCGAGAGGAGAAGGGGCTGTGTCAGACGATGTGCACAAATCGGTCGTATAACTGAATCACGCATTTGTGAAAGACAAACACCTGATACGCATCAGGGTGCATCACACAATCGCCACCGACTATGCCCAGCTTTCTGCTTTGGTGTTGCGGTCGTGCTGCTGATGCCACGCCCTCCAGATGAGTGTATCGCTACGCCAGACCGCCTCCAATTCACAGCGTAGTGTTTGTCAGACGAACTAGCAAACTGTGTCTGGCAGCACAATACCGATCGTAGCACTCGGTCGAAGAAATATCAAGTTGAACATGATTTGTGTTTGATCGTTTCGCACGCAAAAAGGCCGGCCATGAGTTTATGGGCAGAGCATGGCGGTAATCCGGGTTGCGATGCATTCTCGGGGCCTCAGCCATGCTGGCTTGAACAATTGGGCCGAGGAGCCCGAGCGTACAGAAAAGGGCCGCATAAATTCAATGGAAAGAGGCGCCGACACTCGTCTCTAGTCACCGGCCTGCACCGTTGCCTGTGTCTTGTGCCACGGCCAAAGAAGCCACTTCCGCCCTGCTCTCCGAAGAGGAAACCAGTATAGCCAAAATCTCGTCATCTACGTCGCTGATCTATTGAACGCCCTTATAGTACGTATGCAAAGCCCTCGTATAGTACTACGCCTGCTACAGGCGCAGTGATCACCATGGTCAAGTTGGTGGAAAAGGTCGTTGCAGTAGCTCTAGAGGAACTCGCAGTGGCTTGCATGGACGTATCGAGCACGGGCTTTTGGCTTGTTTGCGTAGATTCGTCCGCTCGCCACTATGCGGCTTGTGGAATAGTCTGTCTCACACATTTTATTCGTGTAGGGTGGTTTCTCGTACTTGGTAGGGGGGCTTGAGGCAACACAGATTAATACACTCAGGTCGGTGCAACAGCAATGTCGGGCAGCCGACGCGCACGTCCGTCATCACGGCATCACCAACGCAGTGCAACTTGACGTCGGCGCCAACTATGTGATTGCTTTTATGTATTTTGGGGGCGGTGAGAGCGAAGATTGGCTGATGCAGCAACCAAGGCCGGAGGTTCTGTCGAGCAAACAAGCAGGCCGCTGGTCAGAAACGCATGGCAGAAGCATTTCCAAACTGGCGACTCGCTTCGGATTTCCTGTACTGGACAGGTTTCCGAGACTTGAATAGCTTGTCTTTTCCCTTTTTTTATCCCCCCTTGGCCCAGTATAAGCAGAGATTCTGCTGCAGCTAGCCGGGAACAAGCTGCTAGCCTCAGGGCTGTTAAGTGTCAAACCCAAGGAGCCGTAGTACTGGTGGCATCTTTCACAAGATTGCGGGAAAATGTTCGAAGACGGTGTAATCGAGTGGTTCCTGAGCTCTACCTGTGAAGCCTGTCATTGTGAAAGGCATTGTCCAGTGTCGCCGTGGGGAAGGGGACAAAGCCTGGGGGAGGGGACAAGACCGGTTGGAGGCGCACGGCTGACCATGGTTGGGCCGCCTCATTGTTCGCACGCTGCTACCACCGAAGCGGGAAGCTGGGGGAGCAGGCTCAAGGGGTACCTGGAAGCCTCGTGGTACGGTATCAGCGGGCGGGCGTAGGAGCCTGAAGAAGTTGAGAGGGACGCTGGAGGTGGGCGGCGTTCGGGAGTGAGGGGGTAAAGAGGGCCCCTTCGTCTGGATTTGGTGGCTGTCCTCATCGTCCTTGATGGTCGTACGACTGTCGGATGGTTTTGGTCTGGTTTAGCGATGGATTCGGAGCAGCACAAGCAATGTTGGGAAGTACGACGAGGGTACAGGCGCTTGGGGAATAGCGATCAATGGGCAGATTGTAGCCACGCCCCGCCCGCTAGGGCAAGACAAAGACCAGGGGTGTCCCGCATTCCGTGCGCGTCTTGTGACTTTTTTGTTCCAACGGTTCCGGGCCGGGGTTCATGTTGGCGACAAGAATAGCATAGCCCGCCGATAAAGAAGAAAAAGAACTGGGTGATGGCCGGGCCGTGGCTGTTCGGGTAAAAGTTGTCTGGGATAGATTGGAGGTGGTAGATTGGAGGCGCGCTGATGAATGAGGCAGGGAACCAGTGGGACAGTTAGGCAAACGGGGGAGGCATAGAGAGAGACTCGGGCTTTAGGTACCTACTACGAGTCGGGTACACGGTACAGTACAAGGTAACAAGGCAACAAGAGATACACGTGGGATGAAAAAAACTTGGCAGGAAAATGTCGCTCGTTGTTGGCCGCATATGAGGTGTTGGTAGGCTCTTTTGCCATATTTATAGAACTAACCGTTGGACCAAGGCAGAGACAGCAGAAAACCAGGATCTCGAGGGCGTTGGACGTTGTCGAAGGCGCTAGGGCAACAGCGGCAGGGAACAGACAGGGCACACTGTGGCGGTTGCAGTAGCGTCTACCCTTAGCGGTGCCGTCCCCTGTACCGGTCCTCGATTTCCAGTTGGCTCGCTGGCATCCCAAAGCGGGGTTGAGGCGGCCAAGGCTGCGTTTGTTAGCGTTGCATTAGAGATTCGCTGCTTTTTATTGCAGAACTAATTTACGGCCCGTGGTAACGCGCAAGCCCGTTTGTTGCCCGCCAGTTGGAAGGAGGGGGAGGGGGAGGGGGAGGGGAGAGGCGCAGAGAGGCGCAAAGATGAAGCTAAAAGTTCAAGGTGGCATGCAGCAAGGTTGCAAGCGAGGCAAGCAATTGCGATTGAGTACAGGTACCTAGGTACACGCAGGTACTTACGAAGAAGCCCGCCAAAAGTGGGAACCCCGACTTGACGCGTTTGCGCAGTCAGTCATCGCATCCCACTCCAAAGGAGTCATCGCTTCATTGTGCCGTTAGTCACTGTCACTGCACCCGCCCGCAGGAAGAGAGAACGCCAAAAAAAAAAGACAGAGTTCTCTCCCATCTCCACCTGCGGCATATAACCTGTGCCTCCTACTCGCCCAGATCCTGTCCATCTGGCACTGAAAAACCTTCAAGTGCAGAAACGCCCGGGCATGCCTAAGAAACGACACCTCACCTACTTGAAATCGCCACAAGCGCCGTCGCCTTCTGGCGCAGTCAAAAGTGAGTACCTGCCTACTGGCTATGATCCTACTCGTCACCGAGGCACAGGATAAAGAGGCCCAAGCCATCATCCAAGCCAAATCCTAGCTAACCACCCGTCTCCTTCCCGTCCTACCCTCCATCATAGACAAACCCAACAAGTCCGTCAACGAGCTGCTCACACAGCTACGTCACACATCGCTCGCATCCTCGTCCACGCCAGGACCCCCTGCATCGTCTCCTCTGCATGCCAATATCCCGACTGTGCCCCCGGCTTTGAGGCATATTCTGCAAATTCCAGAGACGCCCGCCCCCCGTCCTCGGCGTACTCTCAGGCCCAGGTTCGATTGCCATGGTCGTCGCCTTCCCGCGGGGCCCCCTCCCCCACGTAGCTGGACATCGCCTTCCCATGGCCAACAACTAGCACCTCTGCCTGAGTGTCAAGCTGAATCTCGCAATGCGTTGGCCAATATTTCCTTGCCAGGGATGCATCATCCTTCACCCACCAGTCTGATTGGCCTCGTCATCGCTCGACTCGCCGTGAACTGGGATTTCCATCGTGCTTATGATCAGCACTACTTGTGCGACGTTCCTTGCCATCTCAAACCAGCGCTAATGCGGGAGATTTCTATCCACAGCCCTGCCGGCCTTGCTCTCGGTGATATCAAGACCTTGCTCTTGCGCCGTAGCCAGGGTGACAACGACAATCATGATGGAGGGGGTCTGCCTCTGCTTTCGGTTATCGACCCCGAACTTACTGCTCTGGACCTCACTGGGTCCTTGGGAAGATCATTGGCCCTGAGAGATGTGACCGCGCTGCTCTTCCCCGCTCGGCCGACTGCGCCGGTTCCGGAGGAGACGCAAGATTCCTGGGACGCTAATGAGGACATACCTCCTGCCCGCCCATCTTATGCACTCATGCCCAATCTAACTCACGTTTCTCTCGCGATTCATCCCGAGCACACGGAAAACGCATCGTGGCGTGACCTCCTGACCCTGGCTCCCCGGCTTGGCTCAATTACACACCTCAGCCTAGCCTACTGGCCTGAGCCTTGCCTCTTGCAGAGTGCCAAGCTTGCTACTGTTGGCTCCCCTCAAGGCTACCGCATCCCATATGGCGGCACAAACTACTACTCCCATTCGATCGATCATGACTGGAGCGAGGCGCTGCTCGTGCTTAAGAAGCTGAGCCAGAGTCTCTACACTCTTGAGTTTTTAGATCTCACTGGATGTGCTTCTTGGTTCCAAGCTTTAAAGCTCGCAGACGAGCATGACTATGTTGACTGGGTCGGAAGTTGGGGCAAGATAACGCGTCTTCGCCTCAAGATGGGCTGGGCCTTGGCAGATGATGCTGAACCTTCAACCAGAGCTGCACATCGAGACGCAGCCGAAACGGCTGTTTCTGTCGAGAGACATATTACTACTGCCAGGGGCGGTAGAGGACGCTTCATCACAGTCGAACGGTAATATTTATAGACGTTTACCTGGCCTGCACAAACTGATTGAGCCGAAACTCGATGCAAAAGCATGTTACATAGGTTCGAATTTTTGCTTTCCCATTCTATAAGCATCTCGTTTAAGACTGTCGCCCGTGACTCGCTTCCCAGAGTGCTTTAAACTTGGTGTTAGACCGAGAAGCTCCTGTGGGTTACCGGCCTCTGCCAGATGTGACATACCTGCTGGTCGCTTCATCCAGCAAAACGACGCGTCCAGTGTCCTTGCGCAGGATAGTTCTAGCCAGCGAAAACAGCTGCATTTGCCCGTTACTAAGCATGTCGTCTCCAAAATTGACATGCAGGCCGCCTTTTTTCTTGATCACTGCCCAGATCCCAGCTGCCTCGAAGGCGCCGATTCGGCTTGTTCGCATCACCTGCCTCCTCTGCGAAATTTTTGATGCGCGCAACAGCACCGACAGATGTCTCCACCGATTTCCAGAACTGAATGAGCATGTTGAGCGCTTGGCCAAGACATCATCGAACGGGGCAATCTCGGGGTCAAAGTAGACCGCGCAATGGCGAGCCGCTGCTGCACCAACAACCACTACAACGGTTGGGGTTGACACAGCTAGGCACTTATCAGCTAAATTCTACGAATTAAACCAGAGAAATTTGCAGGTTTAGCCGGGATTTTTTATGATGCATACAGCTTGCCATTTCCTACCAGGCTATTCCGCCATCAACCCGTGTCAGTCAGTCAGCATCGGCGTGAGTCACCCCGCCTCGGAAACTCCACAGAGCCAGCTACCCTGCATCCATGACCCTGGAGAAGAACGTCTTCCAACGGCTCCCTCTAGCTCAACATCTCGCCATGGCGTACGTAGCGCAACACTTGCGCTTGAAGTCAGTCTTGTAGTTACCAAGTTCAGCTTCCTGCTTGATCTCCGACTTGGTGCCCTCCTTCCTTGGCTCGCATTCCCGAAATGGGTTGCTCCACTCCCGCTAAACCTTGGCTTTGACACCAACGAGGAAGATAACTATAAAGCTGACTGGCTGCCAACTACCATTACTTTCAACGTCATCATCAAAAGCAGACCACTTCCCCTGGTACCACGAGGGAACCAATTACCAGCTACAAGCAAGAGAGAATAGAATCAGTCACTTCGTCGTCCGGCTAGGGCCCTCCCCTCAACATGACGTCTATGGCATCCGAGTCCGTCGCCACCATTCTTTGTACGTCAAAGCAAACCCGTTTTCACATTGACACGGCAAATTATCGACAAGTAAGGCCATACAATCCGTAGAAATCCTTGGAAAAAAAAAAGTACTAATCACATGTCTAGCTCGATATCGAGGGTGTCAACATCACCATCGTGGGTGGCTCCAAATCGGGCGCGTCCGCAAAGGGCAAGTCCAAAGCCCGTAGCGAAGGTCTCGAGATTCTGTCCGGCGCCAAGTTGCGTCTGCAGGAAGGCCGCAGATATGCCCTCGTCGGCCGAAATGGCACGGGAAAATCCAGTAAGCCGTCGCCTGCCACTTTACACTTGTCGCTCGCTAACCACCGCTCCTCTTGTATGAAGCGCTCCTCAAGGCCATTGCCGAGAAGCTCATACCAGGCATCCCCGAACAGGCGAGGATTGCCATCCTGCAGCAGACTAAGCTCAATGACGGCGAGCCGCCCAAGGATGAGACGTCGACCGCGCAGCTGAGTATCCGCCAGGAAGTAATTGAACGCGCCACGTCGCGCAGCCTCGTCGAGCAAGAAATTCAAAGTACGACGGCTCCCGCGAGCGCATGCCCTTGTCCAACGATACGCTGACCTGTGGAAACAAAAACAAAAGCTCTGTCGGATGGCGTCAACTCAACGGACCCCTTTGCGCCGGTGCGCGCTGTCCGCCGTCTCAAGCACGAGCGTCTGCAGAAGCGCCACTTCCTGCTGGACAAGGACGCGCGGCTGCGCAGCGGCGCGCGCGGCATGGCGGCCCGCAAGGCGCTCGTCGCCATCGAAAAAGCCGTGGCCGCGTCGCAGGAGCTGGTCGACCAGCCAAACGCCGACATGACGGCGAACGCGCTGCACGAGGAAACGCAGGAGGCGGCCGATATGCTCGCCGAGCTGCAGATCCAGGTCGAGCCCGGCCGCGTGAGCGAGATTGAGACGAGGGCGCGGCGCATCCTCACCGGCCTCGGCTTCACCGAGGCCGTCATGGAGCAGCCCCTCGCTAGCCTCTCCGGCGGCTGGCACATGCGCGCCAGCCTCGCCGCCGTGCTCCTGCAGGACGCCGACGTGCTCATCCTCGACGAGCCGACCAACTTCCTTGACCTCCTCGGCATCATCTGGCTGCAAAAGTACCTCGAGGCCCTCGGCGACGCGGACAGGCCGCCCACACTGCTCCTCGTCTCGCACGACCGCGACTTCCTCTCTCTCTGCACCGACCTGCTCATTCTCAAGGACAAGGAGCTCGCCTACTTCCACGGCAACCTGCCCACCTTTGAAGCCGCCCGCGCCGAGCGCAAGGACCACCTGCGGAAGATGAAGGACGCCCAGGACAAGCAAAAGGCGCACATTGAGAAGACGATTGCGCACAACCTCAAGACCGGCCGCCAAAACGACGACCAGAACAAGATACGCCAGGCAAAGTCTCGCCAGAAGAAGCTCGACGACCGCTGGGGCCTGCAGGTCAATGCGCGCGGCCACCGCTTCCGCCTCAACGACCAGGCCGGCTTCTTCCACACCTCGCACCAGCAGATTGACGTGGGGGCCGATGAGCGGCCCGTCGTGCTGGCACTGCCCGCACCGTCCGACCTGCGCTTCCCCGGGTCGCTCCTCTCCCTGGACCGGGCGAGCTTCCGGTACGCACCCTCGGCGCCGGCCGTCGTCAAAGACGTGTCCCTCACCGTCGGCATGGGCGACCGCGTAGGCATCCTCGGGCTCAACGGCGCCGGCAAGTCGACGCTTGTGCGGCTGCTCGTCGACGCGGCGCGGCCGACGGCGGGCGCCGCGACGAGGCACCCGCGCCTCAAGCTGAGCTACTACGCGCAGCACGCCGTCGACGAGCTGCAGGCCCGCGGCCGCGCCGACGTCGGCCTCACCGCGCTCGCGCTGCTCACCGCCGACGTCGACGGCCAGCTCGCCGAGGGCGAGGTCCGCGGCCTGCTCGGCGAGCTCGGCCTGCCGGGCCGCTTCGCGTCCGACGTGCCCGTGGCCAGGCTCTCGGGAGGGCAGCTCGTGCGCTGCGCGCTCGCACGCCTGCTCTGGCGCCGCCCGCACTGCCTCGTGCTCGACGAGATCACGACGCACCTCGACTACGAGACCGTCACGGCCCTGCGCGCCGCCCTCAGGCACTGGGAAGGCGCCGTTGTGCTGGTCAGCCACGACAGGTGGTTTATGCGCGGCGTGATTGACGGTGTGGTGGAGGAAGACGATGGGGAGGAGAGTGATGGGGAGGAGGAGGATGGGGATGCGCCGATTCGGCGGCGTGTCATGTACAGGCTCAAGGGCGGCGAGATGACGGTGCTCAAGAATGGCGTCGATGAGTTTGAAAACATCATGGAGAAGCGTGTCAAGAAGCTCCTTGCTGCGTAGTTGTTGCGTTCAAGTAGACACATGTGGAGGGAGAGGGAGCGAGGCTGCTTGCATAACTTGGCATTTCGTTTCATTGTAGTTCTATTTGGCATCTTTACTGTCGTTTCGCATCCATCTATCCTAAACATACTGAGCAGTGAATGAAGCCGGACAAACAGGCATCACGCCAGCCACCCGTCTTGTGTAATGTTTTCCCCGCGCACTTGCAAATTCTACAGCACGCCCGCGTCTACCACAATTTTGAACCGGCTCGTTTCGTCTCTCTGCACACGCACCGTGCCGCCCCGGGGAACATCCACAATCGTGCCGTCGACACAGACCTTGCGCCAGCGCTCGTCCTCATCGTCGACGCGAATAGTCAGCTCGTCCACGTCGTCGTAGTGCACACGCAGGCCGTCATCCCACGCGGCCTCGACGTGCTTGCCACCGTCGTACGCGCGCATCATGGCCTCCATAGTGCGTGCCGGGCCGAGCGGCGCAAAGTGCACCAGCCGCAGCTGCCCGTCCAGCGGCCGGCTCGCGGGCGAAATGGTAAAGGTGCGCTCGAGGTTGGAAACGAGCGCGGCGAGCACGTAGGCATGCACGTCGCGCGGGATGCGCTCCAGGTCGTTGGCACCTGGACGCCGGACGGATACTTGGGCGGCATACGGGTGGGATTCCTTGAGGAGCTCCTGTGCGACCATGCCGAAGCGCGCGGCGCCGTGCACACGGTAGGCGGGCGTGTCGCTCTCGTAGACGATGCTGGCGTGGAAGCCGTAGCTCGCGACGATGCTGCCGTGCAGCGCGACAACGTCCGTCTCTTGGCGATGGAGCTGCTTTTCCGCGGCGGCGACGTCATCGGGCGTTTGCGCGTCACCTTTAGATGTGTCGAGGCTCATGTATTTGACGATGCGCGAGCCGGGCGGAAACGAGGCGTGAAACGTAGGCAGCGGCGCCGCGACGCCAGTCAAAAGCGTGCGTAGCGCGAGGACAAGCTCCGAGGGACCCGTGAAGAGGGGCTTGTGCAGCGAGTTAAAGAGCGCGTTGCCCGTGCCTAGTGGAATCAGGACAATCGTAGGAAGGGGCGTGCTGTCGTTCTTCTCGGCCGCCGCGGGCGCTGACGAGTTGAGCAGGTCCACGACGCCGCCGTCGCCGCTGAGCAGCACAATGGTGCGCGGCACTGTCCCCGCGTGTTCCGCACGTGCGTACCCGCGGACACTGTCGTCGCTGTCCGTTACCACGACGCTGTCCGGTTGCGTCTCCTGCGTGAGCGCCTCGGCGGTCACGGCCAGGAGCGGCTGTAGGACCGTCTCCCAAAAGGGCACGGCGCGCCCCGTGCCCGCCTTGGTGGAGAGTACATAGTCGACGACGCCGCCGACGGTACCACCACGGGCGAGATGGGTCGGCAGCTGCGCGACGCGCGGCACTGAGACGAGCTGTGTGGGGATGGCGGCGGGCGTCTGGAGGGTGACGAGCTGGAACGGGGCCGACGTGTCATCGGCGTCTTCGAGGAGCCCGATGATGACGGAATCGGCGCTCGGTGACGCCCGTAGGATGGCGACGATCTGGTCGGGTTTCAGGGCGGGAATCTCGCGGTCCTCGTTGGCGAGGAGGCAGGGTCGCAGGGCGCCGGCATCGTCGTCAAAAGTGAGCGCCGCTGCGTGGACGACGACGGGTGAGGGGTCACTCATTTGTGTTAGGAGGATCGATTGTATGGTCTGTGACGGGAGACGAATAAAATGTGTAGTAAAAGATAAAAATTGAATTGGGCGATCAAAAGAGACGGCTCCGGATAAGGCAATAATCAAAAGACGTCTAGGTGTGATGGGTGATGGATGATGAATGCTCGAATTTGTCGTGGTAAAGAGTAACCTCAAAAGCGTCCTTGAGAGCGGGCTGTGTGTGCGCTCCACTGGAGGCAGGCTGGACCCGAGTTGAAGAGAAGGGTCCAAACTGCCGGCCTATGGGGGCAAAGTCGCGTTGTCCGTCGCCTCTGCAGCCTTATTCATCCAATAAACATGCATACGTGACCGTTGTTGCTTTGAACGGACGCGGAGATGCTTACTCTTTGTTGTTGTTCCGTGCGGAAAATGGCACATCGCCAGATTGACACCGAGCGTCGAGAGTGGCGGCCAACCACCAGACTCCGTTATCGGAAGGGGTTAGGAAAATGCCACGACTTCTATTTCCAACATGTCGAGTATGTATCTGTTCTTTTAATTGCTTTTTGCCTTTGTCAGCGGACCCCAGTTCTCCCTCGGGTTCATCTGGTAGCGAACAAGATTCTGCGTCTTGCCCTCTCGGCCCAGATGGGCAAGCTCGTCATTGAAGACCATAGTTTTTCTCAAGTCTTCTTCTGTCAGAGGCACCGGTTGTTCAGCACCAGCGTCTTGGCCCTTGTTTGATTCCGCATCGACACCCTCCATGGTTACGTCAGGCTGGTTATCGACATCGACTAGATCGGCACCAGCATCGCCCTGCGCCTCGAGGATACCAAGCTTCTTCAAAAGTCTCCATGGCGCTGTATCTGCTTTGAACCTCGAGGTTTTCACAGGCGCCTTTTGCCGGATCCATTCCGCCATGATCCACCATATCGTCGACCATGGAGCGTCGGTTTTGATGCTGCCTGGCCTGCAGTGACTGCGACCCGCTACGTAGCCAAGATGCTTCAACGCTCCTCTGAAGTGGTCGTCGCTTGGTGTCGCGCATGAGACAGTACTAGCAAGCTTTCCGGGCACTACAAAAAATGGATAACGGTCAATCTTGGCCGACTCCTTGTCTCGAGGCTCGACTGGAGCTGGCTCTTCGGGACCAGGTATCAGCTCCTCTAGCGCATTTTGTAGCATGCCTTGTAGACGAGGAAGAGTGCCGTAGATTTTCTTGTCCGACTCGGGAATTTGCTTGAGCAATCTCTCGATAAAGTCCCGCGAGTGAATGTCACCACCGTACATGGGGCCATTGATATGCATCTTGGTACCGCAATGTTTGCATAACCGATCTGCGGCTCCCAGAGCCATGCCATATTTATAAAACGCCCCATTTCCCTTTTTATTGGGTGCTGCCTTGGCTCGCATGAGGTACTGGGTTTCCCAAGCGCCGCAGCCGCTGTCGCAGCTGTGCACAATCATTGTCTTGGAGCCAAGGAATTTGACTGCTTGCGGAGATTTTGTGACCCGGATAAAGACCTTGGTATAAAAGTCGATGGAAAGAGACAATTGCGGCTCAATGCCAAGTCCGTATCGGGCTGCCGATGTGGCCACTGCATTGATGATGAGCCGCAGACCAGCCTCGTGCGAGTGCATGCCGTGAATGGGCGTGCCGCCGTAGAGGGAGAAAGCCTTCTCGCAGTATGCATGACCAGCCCACACAGCACTATCTGTGCATGTAATACACAGGAGACCGCCGTCATCACGCACGGCCTGAACGGCAGCGTCAAAGAACGGAGCTGCCGTTCCATATGGGTCTAGGTCGATAACGTCAAACTTGGCGGGTTTTTTCCATGACTTGGCGTTCTCGCTGTTTGAAAGCGCATCCGCGATTGTCCTGTACATGACTGCCAGAGCATCGCCATTTGTCACGGAAACAATGTCCGCGACGCCGTTGTGCTCGACGTTTTGCTTAATGGACTTGGCAGCGGAAGCTGACAAGTCGTTGGCTGTGATGGAAGTGACAAAGGGGAGCTCGCGCGCATATCGCAATGCTCGCAAGCCCGAGGCCGAAAGAGCGTCTAGCATTTTGAAAGCTGGCTTGGCTGTGCTGCCAGCGTTCTTTTGCGCTGCTGGAACAGGCTCCGAAGCTGGCTGCTGCTCTGGCTGTGCAGGCGGCTGTTCAGTCTCTTCCACTTTGGTGCCATTCTCGTCTCCCCTCTTGCGTTTCTTTCCGTATTTTGCATCCTTTGTTTGTTTGCGATTTTTCCTCCTCTCTAGAGCTTCCTCGCCGTACACCTTGATTGCGAGCACAGAGAGATCGCGGTTGTACTGCTGGATTGGATTATAGAAAACCTGCTGCACTTGGCCACCGTCTTCTCCCACCTTGGCACCTTGCGGAACCAGAATTGTCGCGAGACCTTCTGTAATCGTGCTATACTGCACGCCGTCCACTTCTATAGTCGCTTTTTCGGTCGCGGGGTCGGCCATGGCAGTCGCGAAATGTCGACGCAATCGGTGCAGTATGACGCCTGAAAATCGACTCGTTGGGCGCAAAGCGATCCGGTGAGTAGTTGTGCAAGACAGCCGAAGCAATGGCAGCATGCAGAATATATCGTGGTAGTTATGAATTGGATGTCGCAAAGCAAATGAATTTCAGTTTGCGGAGCTGTCGAATTTTAGATTTCCTGATTCTGCCGACTGTTGATAATTAGGCGGTGTGGCGACTCTGACACGATACGACGGACACTCGTGCCGTTCCTTCTACCATACACAACAGAGCATGTCGCCTGCGATTTTCAGCGTGGAAGGTAGTCCTGCTCCTTGGTTGATCTGAACGGTGCTCTCCCAAGTCTCTAGTATTTAAAGTCGTTGTTCCAGTCCCATCTTCGCTGCCGTCCTTCATCTCCATTTCCTCTGCGAACCTGGTATCCTCCCTCCGTCTTCAACGCCATTATCCATTAACACACTATACTAGAACCTCGAATGTTTATTCCCTTCATCATGTCTAATCAAAAGACTCGGAGTCAGTCTGCACAGGGGAAAACCGGCTCACCAGTCCATGGAGCGTCAGACGAGGTACTCTTCGACAGGGGCGACTTCATCCCACGACTTGATGGTCCTGCATCGACTCGTCCCACAACATCCTCGGAACCGTCCTCTGGTCACCATACGCACAAGATCCCACCACACCGATTTCTCACGCCACATGAATAGAGCATCATTGCCCGTGCAGTCGGTGGCATCAATGACTCGGAACAGCTTCGGCCAGTGCATCCATCCTCTTGGTGGTGGCCGCCACGAGGCATGCCCAACGGTCTATACCGCGATGTCGTAGGACGGCGCAGCAGATGCATGGCGCTCTTCTACGCAGCGACATTGATGCAGTGGATGTTTATGCTTCTGCAGCTTTGTATCTCTGCTGTCCTCACGGCACTTGGTTCCGTTGCTATCAAAAACGGTACACCAATCACTGTTCTCGGTGCTGTCAACACTATCAGTGCTGGCATCCTGGCCTTTATTCACAACAGTGGTATCCCCGATCGCTACCGCAAGGACATGGAAGAGCTCAGGGAAGTGGAAGATCATATTAAAGAGCTTCTGGATTCCGGCATTGCCCCAGAGGGGCTGAAGGCGGAGCAAATCATCGCGGAATGTTTCGATTTGTTCCAAGATGCCAAGGCCACTGTCACTGCCAATCTACCAGACAGTTATCGCCAGCGACAGACAACACCTGTGCGACGACAACCTCCAGCACCCAACTCAAACCCAAACCCTAGCGAGCCGAGCGGTGCAACTCCTGCGGTGTCTGGTGCAGAGAAGCCGTCGGATACCAAGGCCAACACTTCCAACTGATGCTTATCGTATCACCCTTTTGACTGATGGGCATTATCAATGACTGGATATTTGAACGTCGCGGTGCTGTTTCGATTGTCCTGGTGGTACGGTTCCTTGTTGACAAATTTGCTCCGAACACATCCTGGCCTTGGCCCTTGCCGAATTCCTATTCCTATGTATGCCTGGTTTTTGGAACTAACTTGATGAACTTGAGGTTGTCCATTAGTGACTGTAGCGTTATTAACATGGTTATGAAAGCGTACGGGCCTGAGCCTAGGGCCTATTTGTTTTCGAGCACAGGCTACAAGTTTGCTAGCCAGTTAGGTTTGCCAAAGAATAGAATACGCATTCTAAGCCAACCTCACGCCATACTGTAACACGAATCAGTTTTACCGCGAACAGAGTGCATGGAGAAACTGCGCCTCATATGAGTTGGCCAGCGGTGGACGCAGCCGAGTGCGGCGCATGTTAATCGAAAACGTTGCCACGGGCATGAAATCCATCCTGAATTAATATTAATAGATGCACAATGGGTCTGGAAAGGTCCTCCCGAAGCTATACTTGACGAGGATCCAGGGGCCGATCAGCTATTCCGCGTCTCATCCATACTGCGCCGACTCGTCGGCCCACCTCTGTCCTTCCACTTCCATTATTATTACAGGCCACTGCCTCCGGTTTCACAATCCAGCCAGGATTGTCTGTAGCATGGCAAATAAAGTACATTTTGCATCCCCAGGTACGACGAGTTGTGGATGCTGGGTCGGGCCTAGAATCGGCCTTTGGCCCTTTTAATATTACTTCGTAACGTTAGAACAGCATCTTCGCCTTCGGGCAACAATTCAAACCTTTGTCCCGGCACAGTCCAAACTCTCTTGAATACACATTCTTCGACAAGAGCTAGACGGAAGACACAGTAAATTGACAAAGATCCAAGAACCACCTCAATCAACGTTCAACACCGCTGGCTGTCTTGGCCGACGCTTGCGGCCATGGGACAGCTGGTCGCGAGCCCGTTTTCGGTGCCCAGAAGGTTGATATCCATGCTCTTCATTTCTGCAGTACTCGCCTACACATTTGTATTTCTCCAATCATGGAACCTCGACAATGAACTGTCGCGACTGTTTCCTAGCCGGTACGACCGGAATTCGAGTGAGCTGAGTTTGGAAACGGACAACTATCTGGACGACCTGATTCGCCAACACGACCTCTCACCACGAGTCGAGTGGGCGGCATGGAACATTGCATCGACGCAGAACCAAAAGAAATGGACTTCCCTCACGCGCGTGCCTCGCCGATTCCAGCCGCGCCGGCCCCGGGTCTTTGACCCGCGCGATCAGCGCCCCTCGCCGGCACCGATGGCCTTTGGGACGTTACCACTGCCCTCGCCCCGGGGCTGGCGCCCAGGCCAGTTTGATGCCACACACTACCTCTTCGGCTTGTCGACGACATACGAGCGGCTGATGAAGGACGATCGCGCCATGCTCAAGAATTGGCAGTGGTGGCTGACGAACGGCCAGCAGGCCAGCAGCGGCGCGCACATGGTGGTCATGCTGGACCGGGCCGACGACGAACAGATGCAGAAAGTTGAGAGCACTCTCACGGAGCTGGCCATCCCCGCCATGGTGTACAACTCTGGGGAGCCCCTGTCCGCCACGACGCGGTACGCGCAGCTCGCGGGGGAGCTGTACGCATACGGGTCGGCCCTATCGGCCGTGGGCGTCGACAAGCGGTGGTTCGTCCTGATGGACGACGCCATCTTCTTCCCGAGCCTGTCGTACCTGGACGAGACGCTGGCCGCGTACGACGCGCACGACAGGGTGTACATTGGCGTGCCCAGCGACCGGTCCGACTGGGAGGCCCGCGACGGCAGGCTGTCTACCACCGGCGGCGGCGTCGTCGTCCTGTCGCGCCGCGGCCTCGGCCGCTACCTCTCGCTCTCGTGCGCCGAAGGGCACGCCGCGGGCGAGCAGCCGCCGTCCCGAAAAGCGGCGCGGCACTGGGCGGCAACGCTCCACGAGTGCCTCACCACGCGCGGCGACCTGCCCATGCACGTCATCCCGGGCCTCTACTCGCCCGCAGCCGACGACGACGACGCGTCGTCCCGGTCCGACGATCTCGAGAGCGGCGCGCGGCCGCTCGCGCTGCGGAACCGCGCGCCGATGACAGCAGGCGGCGGCCCGGACACGGCCACGGCCTACCTCGTCGCCGACGAGTGCGGCGAGGCGTGCTTTGCGCAGCGCTTCCTGTTCCGCGACGGCTGGGTGCTCGTCAACGGCGTGTCCATCACCCAGTACCAGAACCCGCTCACGGTCCGCCGCGCCGAGGACGGCCGTCGCCCCGGCGCCGCCGCTCAGCGCACGCTCGACGACGACGGTAGGGTGCGGCTCACCGGCGGCGGCGGCCGCAACGTCTGGACCCTGCTCGACTCGTCGGTCGACGACTACGGCGTCGTGTGGCAGGCCTACGTCAAGAGAGACGTGCGCCACAAGAGGGCTCCGACGGCAGCGGACACGGAGTCGCTGGACTCGGTCATTATTCTAGTCTGGCATCAGAACAAAACGGGAGTGAAGCACTGAACTTTTTTTTCCTTGTATTTATATATCACAACGCGGCGCGGACGTATATACTTTTTTCTTCTCAACAAAATCTTTTTTTTTGCGCCTCTCCGGTCATTTTCCCGCAGAGACGGCCTGCCAATCCTGCTTTGTCAGTTCATAGTACATCTCCGTCGTAGGCTCCGTGCCCTCCTCCTCCGAGGCGCGGCGCGTGCCGCGGCCGCGCAGGCCGAGCTTGTCCTCGGCCAGCCTGACCATGGCGGCATTGTCCTCGGTGGTGGTGATGGTGACGAGGTCCAGCTGCGGGCCGCCGTCTTCGGCCGGGGTAAACGCCCACGCAATCGCCAGACGGATGGCCTCGGCGGCGTAGCCGCGGCGGCGGTGGGCGGGGTCCATCATGGCGCCGACGTCGCCGGCGCGCAGCGGGCGGCCGTCGCGCACCCAGTCCTTGATGGCGCCGAAGCCGCC